AAAAAAAGAATTGCAATGCTGAAAAAGCATTTTCAGTGACAATGTTTGGATTTGAAATCAAAATAATGGATAAATGTTGTGTTTGTGGTAAACAGCCAAGGATCAGTAGCAGACTCCTGTGTGAAAGCTGCTTCCCCTCTCACAAGAGTCATCTTAGAGGGGAATTCCCCCCATTTTTAAAAATGAAATTCTGGCCCTGAATAAATGTCTAAAAATTCTGATTGGAGTATCACTATAAATAGTTATAAATGATAAAAAGAAGGCTTTAAAAAGATCGGTAGCCCTGAATAAATGTCTAAAAATTCTGATTGGAGTATCACTATAAATAGTTATAAATTATAAAAAAAGAAGGCTTTAAAAAGATCAGTATCGGTGATCGGTATCGGCATATACTGCTTTCTGTGATCGGTGATCGGCCTCAAAAACCCTGATCGGAGCACCCCTACTACTTAATAATAATAAACCACGCCTTCACCGACGCATGTTTGTAATTTAAGCTCCTGAAGGATGTTCAGAAAGAGAAACAAAACTACAAAACCTGTTCCCAGCTTCTGGTAGGAGGAAGTATCTGCGCTGAGGTTTCAAAGGGAGATATTTGCTGACAAAAATTTATTACAAACTAACAGAGGAATACGTTTTATTTAGGTATTCGTTCATTTAAAGAAGATAACATGCATTTTATTCCTCTCGTCCTCCTTCTCTTTGGTTTGAGCTCAACGCTGGCACAGAATGCAACAGCTCCAAATACAACAACAACACAGACTACACAAACTTCAACTACGACAACACAGACTACTTCACAAACTACTACAAGTAAAGCACCGACTACAACTCCACGTCCAAGTAAGGCAAATAGATACTTTTGGCTGAATACATTCTAGAGAGAAATAAGGTTCAATGTTTTGTTACCGTTATAGAACCTCTAGTTTCACTGGTGTTGAATTTACATACAAACTAATTTAAAACTTGGTCTTTGTCATTTGACAATAGTTTATTACAATAACCAGACTTGTTTTTATAGCTATCAGTTTTACTACTTAATCTAAATGGGCAAAGCCCCCACTAAGACCTGCTGTTTAATGTTAAAACATTTAATTCCCCTGGAATCCCAATAACTGCCTTACTCTGATTTCCCATTCTGCTTTTGTCTGGTTCATAACTAGGATGTCTAAGGCAACCCCTGTCTCATAGGGTGTAATTGTTGCCTAAATATAGTAAATATAGTCAGGCTCTAAAGATCGTAGCTGCGTTTAACACAGAATTAGATTAATAAGTTTCAGTTAATTTCTATAACTAACATGTCCTGTCTCACACTTCTCACTTTTCTAGGTTGTGAGAGCAAGAATGGTACAAGCTGTGAGGAATGTTTGGCATATGTGGATGTGAGTTTGGATAAAATTTTGCCTCTTTCTTTTATGTTTTTTGTCTGTCGCCAGTCAATAAAGCAGACTGGCATGTTTTATTCACACTATTTACTCTGTTTACTTATGGCAAAAACATGGGTGAAAACATATTACAGTATGAGAGAGAGATGTATAAATGAGATCTGATGAGAACCAAAAACATGAGCAAACATGAGATGAGAAAGAGAAAAACAATCAGAGTGACAAGGAAATAATGAACTCAGCAAGCAGCAAGATTTGCAGGATTTTTTTACACTTATCAGATCATCACGTACCTCACCTGTGGAACAGGTTTGGGCTGTTCTGGGTGTTTACAGCTTCATACTCTTTCTGAGAGCTCAGTGTCACTTGAGACGCCCTGTGAACTTCCCTTAAAAAGTCAGTCTCGTAAATATTCAAGGTCTCGTAGACCTTTCATTTAGTGGTGTTTGTTAAAGCAAGCATCCCTGTTACTATAATTCACCAAAAATTTGACCAAAAATCCAACCCTGAATATTAAACCTGAGAAACATTTGTGTAATGAATAATGCTTCAAATCATAGCTTATCGTGAAGAGCTGTGCTAATACTTTTCTAAGCAATCAGAGTTACAGTTTTCACCTGTTAATATTTTACATTTTAAACTAGTTCTCATGTGCTTACTCATGGTGCTATCAGGTCCATCAGAGCATTTGAATTGCTTGTGTATATATAGTTTTAGAATTTGGTCTGTTGTTGCTGTATGATGTTGACATTCTGTATTTGCACACACAGCTTTTCTCAGTTAATGACGTGTGTGTCAGTATCAACCCTGTAATAACTCGTCTCTACTGATGTCATTACCCTCATCGTCACTGTTACTGTAACTATCTGCAACCCTAAATTCAGAGAATAAAACATCTTGAGCTTTGAATCGTGCATACAGTGGATGACTGTATATAACAATCGTTTCTGTCTTTTTAGTGTCTGTGGTGCATTCCAACTAAAACATGTATAACATACCCAGCCAAAACCATCCTACCCCCCCATTCCTTCTGCCCACTGAGTGATGCTCGATGGGGCCTTTGCACAAGTAAGACATGTTTTTAAATTTGTCTCTGACTTATTTTTCTACATTTGTTATTTACGACACCGTGTTTCCCAGCCTTTATAAACTTCTTTCTTGTCTTCCTTTTTAACCAGACATAGCATAAAATATCATTTAAATCACAAAATAACTGCAGAAATAACAATAAAATTATAATAATAATTATTATGAATGCACAGAAGACAGCACCATACCAGTTATATTGTGGGTACTTAAGGCAACTTTCTAATTTAAATTATCATTTTTAAAAAATAGCATAGATTTATAAAAAATGTTGATGATTGGCCATAATAGTTTATTTCAACAGAATAAAAAATGCATCCCTAATAATTAATACTATTAATATTAAGATATTTTTAAGGCATGTAATGGTTTTATTATTGTCTAATAGTAATTTTCTGTCATTATTATGTCAAAAAAAAAACAGAAATAAAACAATCATTAAAAAACTTTTATGTATATTAATCAGACACTTAACCCTCATAATGCATTCAAATCAGCATTCTATTTGTGCATTCCAGGTCTGTTTTGGACACATAAAAAAATCATTGTTTTATAAAACAGTTTTAACTTAATATGTGATCAGCAACTTCTCATTAATGAGTGAACGTGAAAACATTTCAAAGTTTCGATTATTACTTTGTTTGATTGTTATGTTATTATCAAGTTATTACTGCATGTACCCCTGTTTTAATTGCACAAGAACCA